GCAGTTTACTCAACAAAGTGCACCGCAATGGCGCGCGCAAAATGACGCGTATTGTCCAATTACATGCATGACACGTACACTGTCCAATTAATGCTCAAATCGGGCTGCTGACAGCCAATCACGTTCGAGAATTTTGTTATAGTTTTGATTATACTTGAAATAACTTGTAATTTGTTATAGCTGTGGTGAATTGTAAGGTGTAACAGTTCTTGTGTTTTGTAATAAGGCACCAATCTCAAAATGGTAATATCACGTTGTAAGTTTTTTGATAATCAGAGCTGCCGTTAATTGTGATAACACCTTGTCGTGTTTTGTAATAACCTACGAGGCGGCTATTAAATTAAATGTGATATTAGTGCCTATCATTACCCCATCTCCCACTTAACTCTAAGAATATGACGTAAGAATATGTAATGTCAGAACTTAAAACAAGCTAACGACAAAACAATCGAAACAGCCGAAAAACCTTAATATGTTTTTTTGGGTAAAGTACTTATTTGCATATGCACATCCAATGTCAAATAATTTGCGTCAAACTTAATAAAGGAATAAAAATGGGCGATGCTAAAAGTGCCTTGCATAAATAACAAATTGAAACAAAAAACAACTGTAACCGAGCTAATAATAAAAAAAAGTTTTCTGATCTTAACATCCTCTGACTAAAAAGGGGATAACCGCCAGAAAATTACTACAACGAAAAAATAAAATCCCAAAGCAGGCGAAACGAGAAGCTCAGACCAAAGTCAATCACTCAGCCTTTTGCCGATAGCTACCCAAAAATGTCTTGGGAATGTTCGGTTGTCTCCAAACTAGAGAACAATATTCGATATTCACCGTAAGAATACATCCCAAGTGAACGATAAAGACTATCACTTTCTCTCTCTAGTACGATCACGTTGTATCTCGCCGGCACTAAAGGTTGTCAAAAACTGAAGTCCCTAGAATCAACCACGAAACCATAGAAATCATGGAGGGTGCAAAGAGCTAGTGGCCAGCGCCGGTTACGCGGGTGCAGATGAAAAGAGAATACTCGAACGAAATACGCGGAGCTTACGAACAAGGCGACTCCCAAACAAATTAAAGGAAAACACGTACAATCACTACAACAGATTGACCTGACTGATTTTTTGCTGGTTTTTTTTTATTTGCTATTTGCCATAAAAAAAGAATAATAAAAAAAGATACAAAGAAACTGCAGTTAATAAAATATGCAAAAAATAGAGAAATAATGGACAGGGAACCTAATAAAAACCACGGGGCTTGTGAGCCTGGGTTCCCTCACAAGAAATGCCTGACGCATATACGACGGCGACGGCGAGGACGACGCCTACTAAAAAATGTGTTTCTGTTTTACTTTGAAATTTCGCATGTATTTGGAACTATCCAGTGTGTCTGTCGGTATTAAAACTTGCCCCTGCTGAATATGCTACGAATGCGTTCAATAGGCCCTTTGCACGATCCGGTCACATGGTACGGAATTAATTATGCTGGGACGCAAGTTACACAGTGGGACTTTTAAAACAAAGGAAAGTCGGGTTAGACTGGTACGAGTTCCTTTGTTTTGGAAGTCCCACTGTGTAACTTGCGTCCCAGCATAATTAATTCCGTACCATCTGACCGGATCGTGCAAAGGGACTATTCCAAATAGAAATACGAAAAATTAGCCGTTGTGGTTCACGTTCTCCAGACAACGCAGAATTTGGTCATTTCACGATGCTGTTTTGCACGTGCACAGCCATTGTATTGCTCATTAGATTTTTTGTTTGGTGACGTTCTCGTTGCCGTTGCCGTCGCGTTTTGCGTAAGGTCCCTATTATTATAATAAATGACGACTCGACAAGCCATATTTGTACGCTTAATTTGCTTAACAGAATTAGCAAGGATCATGTTAAACGCAATGGTGAATCACGCATTTAAAGAAAGGAGACACTCTCTTAAATTTGGAAGACATATAAACTCTTGGTCTTCGGCCATCGTAGCTTGATTAAAAACATAAAACAAAACATGTTTTTAAAATGTTTATCACCGCTGTTTGTTTCATATATATATATATTTGGAAGACATGTTTCGGATACATCAGTTTCAGGATGTTTACAAGTGACAAGACCAAATATACAAAAGGTGATGGAAAATTACAATACTAGCTGGAATAACGTAGCTAATTACAAACAATATGCGAAAAAGATCACATATTTGCCATATAAGGGATAAGGGCTGAGAATGACTTTTCCATATATGGTACAGCATTCTTCTGAACCTCATATTGTCATAATTGGCCGTTTTCACAGTAGAGACGGATAACCCGTCGGGTTATCCGTCCATTATGGATAATTCGTCTTAGTGTGAAAACGGAACGGTGTTCATTTTAGACGGATAATCCGTCTATTTTTATCTGTCCGATTATCCGTCTATATAGACGGATAATCGGACGGATATCAATAAACGGGTAATCCGTCTAGACGGATTATCCGTCTCTAGTGTGAAAACGGCCATTATTAGGCATTTGTGTCGTTTATCGACATTTTAGGTTTTCAAGAGCAAAAGATGCTGGGAAGATTCTTATTAATAATTATAATAATGTTTTAATTCGCCGTTTTTATACTAAAGACGCATTATCCGTCTGGACGAAC